ACCATCAGGAGAGTAACAAATTGAATAAATTATTGATGAATGACCACCTAATTTGGCTTTTTATTTTCCTGTTTTAAGATTCCATAAATATACAAATTTTCCACTACTGAAAGCTAATGTAAGAGTATTAGGCAAAAAGCATCCTGATTTTACTTTTTCCTTTACCTTGATTCTTGACTTAATTTTTCCTGTTTTAACATCCCACAATATAATCGAATTATCATCACAACAAGACTTTAATAATTTACCATCTGGAGAATAGCATACATAATTGACACTTCCAAGATGACCGTCTAATTTATTTAACTCATGTATTTTGATATTTTTCCATTTACAATTCAACATTTACGCTTAATTCAAGTTCATTCCACTAATATCCACATTGTCAAATTCTGATCTATTGAATATGCATCTTACAAAATTCCCACCAACTAAAGAGGTATTTCTTATCCTGATATTCTCAAAACATTATTCCCTCAAATCCACTTTCATTTAAACTAGTAAATGAAGAGAATTTGATCCACATTAAATATATATCTCATCTAAAGCAGTCAGATGAACTAAAAAATTTAGAAGTTAGATTATCTTCTTATCCAATGATATTTTTGTGATTAGATCCTTTTTAAATTCTTCATAATCATCTATTGAATAATTCTGTGTATTAAAGTCATGATCCCTAACTTTTTTGAGAAGATCCTTTATTCTCTCTCCTTAAAGAGTCTATTCTTTATTAGGTAGAGATTAGTTTTCTATCTTTTACCTTTCTATTTCCAAAAGAAATTTGTTGTGATCTTATGAGAGAAATTCTAGGCAGTCTTAAATTCTCTCTTTTGTTAATATGTTTATGAGGATAGGGAGGACTACTTCATCCACCTCTTTGGATAAGGCCAAAACTCTCCAACTTACTCTTTTTCACAATACATTTTCTTTTCTTTAAATTAATATTGAATTTCTATTACTATATTTTGAGTTTTATATTACAAACCAAAAGTATCTTACACTACATGTTTTGAAATGTATACAAACGATTTAATGTTTTGGAATTGACGTAAATTGTACAAGGGGAAAGGATCATCACCTATATTACTTTCAAGTTTAAATCTTTGGGATTGAATTACTGGAACTCCAGAAGGTTTAACCTGAGAAATTTATGTCAATTGAAACAGTGAAACCTTTTTCTAATGCAGATTTTTTTAAAAGCAAAGTTTTAACTTAATCAACCTTGTATTTAAAATGACTCTCACTTTTTTGACTGATATAAATACTATTTCTACAGGTTATATATTATATTAATATATACATAAGTAAAAATTAACAATTAAAAAGAAATTAATAAAATTGGATTGATATTGGATATTTTAATTGGCTTTAAAAAAAATCAATTATGTTTCTATCTCTAAAATACAACTACCTTTAGATTTAAATAATGATCGTAAATCTATAATAAAAAAACTATCCTTTCAAGGCTAGAGCTCCTTAAGTTTCTAAATTGGGATTTTAGGAGATTTTTAGAATGATGTTATAAGTGAGAGCTAAGAATAGTGAATAGAAATACCACTTTCTGGAAGAACATTATATTAAATAGTTGTTGGGTTATCTTTATAACGATTATTTGAAGATAACATCTACCCTGTCAAAACAGGATATTAAAATAATTCTTCCCCTAATACCTGAATGGATATAACAAAATTTAAGTTAATTTAGAAAGATATCCTCATTGCTATAACAAGCAGCTCTATCTCTCTTTCTGTTTGTGCCATACAGCAAATTATTTAG